TTTGGCACCATCACATTCATTTATGTGATGCCCAAGTCCAGCTACTCAACTGACCAGAACAAGGTGGTGTCTGTGTTCTACATGGTGGTGATCCCCATGTTGAACCCGCTCATCTACAGTCTGAGGAACAGTGAGATTAAGGGGGTCCTGAAGAGACAGCTTGGCAGAAAAATATTTTCTTAGTGAAACCAGTTATTTCATAGGGTTTGATATAATAATATGTCACAAATATAAAAATTGAGTGTCTGTGGTTTAAAATATCCATCCTATGTGATTAGCCAGGGCACAGCTTTTTAGTAAAGGTAGGGGATAGATTTTCAGATATAAAATTATAAGTCAGAGACCATAGTGAGTTTTCCTTTAATAAAATAAAATAAAATTTATTAATTAAGAAAAACAAATTGATTCCCATGAAAAATAATTAAACTTCTATTGCTTTAAAACTTCATTCAGCTTTTCCCCATTAAGTATGATGTTAGCTGTGGGTTTGTCATATATGGCCTTTATTATGCTGAGGTATGTTCCATCTATGCCCACTTTCTGGAGAGTATTCATCATATATGGATGTTAAATTTTATCAAAAGCTTTTTCTGCATCTACTGAAGTGATCATATGGTTTTTATTCTTCAATTTGTTAATGTATCACATTGTATCACACTGATTGATTTGTGGATATTGAGAAATTCTTGCATCCCTGGGGTAAATCCCACTCGATCACGGTATGTGATCCTTTTAATGCATTGTGGGAGCTGATTTGCTAGTATTTTGTTGAGGATTTTTGCATCTATATTCATAAGTGATATAGGCCTATAATTTTCTTTTTTTGTGACATCTGTCTAGTTTTGGTATCAGGACAACCTTATAGAACAAGGTTGGAAGTGTTCCATCCTCTGCAATTTTTTGGAATAGTTTCAGAAGGAGAGGTGTTAACTCTTCTCTAAATATTTGGTAGAATTCCCCTGTGATGCTATCTGGTCCTGGACTTTTGCTTGTTGGGAGTTTTAAAATTACTGATTCAATTTCAGTTCTGGTAATTGGTCTGTTCATATTGTCTACTTCTTCCTGGTTCAGTCTTGGCAAATTATGCCTTTCTAAGAAATTGTCCATTTCTTCTACATTGTCCTTTTTGTTGGCATATTGTTGCTCATAGTAACCTCTTATGATCCCTTGTATTTCTGTGGTATCGGTTGTAACTTCTCCTTTTCCATTTCTGATTTTATTAATTTGGGCCCTCTCTCTTTTTTTCTTGATGAGTCTGACGAAAATTTATCAATTTTGTTATCTTTTCAAAGAACCAGATTTTAGTTTTATTGATCTTTTCTATTGTTTTTTAAGTCTCTATTTCATTCATTTCTGCTTTAATCTTTATGATTTCTTTTCTTCTACTAACTTTGGGTTTTGTTTGTTCTTCTTTCTCTAGCTGCTTTAGGTGTAAGATTAGGTTGTTTACTTGTGATTTTTCTTGTTTCTTGAGGTAGGCCTGTATCACTATAAACTTCCCTCTTTGAACTGCTTTTGCCCCATCCCGAAAGTTTTAGATCTTTGTGTTTTCATTTTCATTTGTCTCAAAGTATTTTTTAATTTCCTCTTTGATTTCTTCAGTGATCCATTGATTGTTTAGTAGTATATTGTTTAGCCTTCACATGTTTGCAGTTTTTGCAGTTTTTTCTTGTAGTTGATTTCTAACTTTATAGCATTGTGGTTGCATTTCCTCTAAGATCAGGAATAAGACAAGATGCCCACTCTCACCACTTTTATTCAACATAGTTTTGTAAGTCTTAGCCATAGTAATCAGAGAATAAAAAGAAATAAAAGGAATCCAAATTGGAAATGAAGGAGTAAAACTGTCACTGTGTGCAGATGACATGATACTATACATATAAAACCCTAAAGAAGTTACCAGAAAACTATTAGAACTCATCAATGAATTTGGTAAAGCTGCAGGATCCAAAATTAATATATAGAAATCAGTTGCACTTCTATATACTAACAATGAAATAGCAGAAAAAGAAATTAAGGAAACAAAACCATTCACCATCACACCAAAAAGAATAAAATACCTAGGAATAAACCTATCCAAGGAGGCAAAAGAACTGTACTCCAAAAACTGTAAGACACTAATGAAAGAAACTGAAGATGACATAAACAAGTGGAAAGATATACAGTGTTCTTGGATTGGAAGAATCAATATTGTTAAAATGGCCATACTACCCAAGGCAGCATACAGATTCAATGCAATCTCTATCAAATTACCAATGACATTTTTCACAGAGCTGGAATAAAAAGTGTTAAAAATTTGAATGGAAAAACAGAACACCTGAATAGCCAAAACAATCTTGAAAAAAACAGAGTTAGGGGAATTACACTCCCTGACTTCAGACTATACCACAAAGCTACAGTAATCAAAACAGCATGGTACTGGCACCAAAAAAACAGACACATAGATTAATGAAACAGACATAAAGTAAGTTCAGAAATAAACCCACACACTTATGGTCAATTAATCTATGAAAAAGGAGGCAAGACTATACAGTGGAGAAAAGACAGCCTCTACAATAAGCGGTGCTGGGAAAACTGGACAGCTACCTGTAAAAGACTGAAGCTAGAACATTCTCTAACACCATATACAAAAATAAATTCAAAATGGATTGAAGACTTAAACGTAAGACTAGATACTATAAAACTCCTAGAGGAAAACATAGGCAGAACACTCTTGGACATAAATCACAGCAATATATTTTGAACTAGCTCCTAGAGTAATAGAAGTAAAAGCAAAAATAAACAAATAGAATCTAATTAAACTTAAAAGCTTTTGCACAGCTAAGGATACCATCAACAAAATGAAAAGAAAACTTACAGAATGGGAGAAAATATTTGCAAATGATGTGACTGACAAGGGACTAACTTTCAAAATATACAAACAGCTCATGTACCTTAATATCAAAAAAACAAGCAACCCAATCAAAAAATGGGCAGAAGACCTAAATAGACATCTCTCCAAAGAAGGCATCCAGATGGCCAAGAAGCAAATGAAACGATGCTCAACATCACTAATTGTTAGAGAAATGCAAATCAAAACTACAATGAGGTATCACCTCGTGGCAGTCAGAATGGCCATCATCAAGAAGTCTACAAATAAGTTCTGGACAGGGTGTGGAGAAAAAGTAACCCTCCTACACTATTGGTGGGAATGTAAATTGGTGTAGCCACAATGGAGGACAGTATGAAAAGTTTGCTTAAGAAACTAAAAATAGACTTACCATATGATCCAGCAATCCCACTCCTGGGTATATATAAGAAAAACATAATTGAAAAAGACACATGCACCCCAATGTTCATAGCAGCATTATTTACAATAGCTAAGACATGGAAACAACCCAAATGTCCATCAACAGATGACTGGATAAACGTGTTGTATATAGATACAATGGAATACTTCATCCACGAAAAAGAATAAAATAATGCCATTTGCAGCAACATGGATGGACCTGGAGATCATCATTCAAAGTGAAGTAAGCCAGAAAGAGAAAGGAAAAATGCCATATGATATTGCTTATATGTGGAATCTTAAAAAAAAAAAGGACACAAACTAACTTATCTACAAAACAGAAACAGACTCAGACATAGAGAACAAATTTATGGTTAACAGAGGTTAAAGAGGGTGGGAAGGATAAATTGGAAATTCAAAAAAATCACTTTGGGGAGTGGTGGAAATGTTACCTATCTTGATTGTGGTAGTGGTTTCATTGGTGTACATATGTATCAAAATTCACCAAAGTGTACACCTGAAATATGTGTAATTTACTGACATGAACCATACCACAATAAAGGTGTTAAAAGTAAATTAATTAATTAATTTCATTCATATATTTTTTCCAAACTTTCTACTCTGCCATTAGTTAAGATTATTGTACCTCCAAACCTTTAAGACTGTGTCCATTTTCAACAGCAATTTATCCTGAAATAAGTGTGATAACTTTAGTTATGACTGAGTATATTCTGAGAGGAAATGACAAAAGGGAATCAGAAAGTTTCTGGAGGTGTTCTTGTAGGAATGGTGTCTGCTGAGGATGGACTTTATGGTCCCATAAGTTCTGGCCGGTGTTCCCGGTCTCTAGCTCCAGTCACCATGCAGAGGGTCCCCAGAGAAGAAAAGGGTGAGATGTCCCTGACTGACCTGTGAATTCTGTCAGGTCCAAAGAGGTGACTTCTCTGTGGGAAAAAGAGGGTCCCTAAACTCCTCAGAGACTGAGTGGAACAAACTCTTAGAGTGGATTGTTCATAGTCAGGCCTATATCCTGCTTAGGAAGGCGAAAGGAGCTGGATTTTCTGTCTCTGAATTTTGGCTGCCCCCTGGAGAGACTTCATCTACCTCAATATGCTGACAACAAACAAATTTATTGACCTTTCCTGCCCCCCATTTCATGTTTCAGACACAAATTATATCTTTGCTGACTGACTCATGGGGCATTCATCATCTCATTCATTCATTTGTTCTTTCATACAGTCAGAATTATATCGAGTTATTCTTATATTCCAGAAGCAGTCATAAGCCACTGGTAATATAGTGACAAACATGTAATATACTTGCCCTCATAGAATTTATCTTATAGTTTAGAAGACACATTTGGTATTATTAGTCTTCTTTAAATTTAGCCACTTAATGTGTGTGTAGTGGTGTCAATTTACGTTTTTATTTTGCATTTTGATATTGTCCAATTTATCAATCATTTAATTTATGCACTGTACTTTTGGTGTCTAACAACTCTTCACGTAAACCCAGTCATGAGTAGTTGTAAGCTTTCTTCTAAAAGTCTTACACTTTGCATTTTGGTCTATGATCCATTTTGGGTGTATTCTTGTATAAGATGTGAGGTTTAGGCTGAGGTTTATTTATTTATTTATTTGCTTCTTTTTGCCTATGAAAGTCTAATTATTCCAACATCATTTGTAGAAAAGACTATGCTTTATCTGTTGAATTGGTTTTGTACCTTTGTTTAAAATCAATTGGCTGTACCCATGTGGACTTATTTCTGAACTCCCTATTCTGTTCCACTCATGTGTGTGTTTATCCCACTTCCCATTAATACCATACTGTCTTCACTACTGTTAGTCTGTATTAAATTTGGAGGACTCAAATTACCTGATTTTAAGCCTTACAATAAAGTTGCAGTAATCAAGACATGTAGTATTATCATAGGGAAAAACATACATCAATGGAACAGGATAGAGTCCCCAAAATAGATCCACACATGGTTAATCAGCTTTTAAAAAGAGAAGACAATGAAACTTAACATAGAAAAGATAATCTTTTCACAAAGTGTGTTGGAACAAGTGAACATCCATTTTTTTAAAATTTCACACATGAAAAAAATTAAGTCAAAAGAGATTTTAGAATGAAATGTAAACCAACATTATAAAATTTTAAAAACATATCTACTAAAGAATTAACATCTAAAATACATAAAAAGCTCACAAAACTCAATGAAAAGAAAACAACCCAAATTTTAAAAATAGGTAAAAGATTTGAATAGATACTTCCCCAAAGAAAAGATATGAATGGAGCATAAATGCACTTGAAACTGATGTCGAACGCAGTTCAGTCACTAGTGAAATGCAAATTAAAGTAAAAGACTTAATGCTACACACATAAAACATATTAGAACTTTTTTTTATATATAACTGACAATACCAGGTGCTGCAAAGGACACAGAGAAAAAGACCTTAAATAAAATGCTGATAGGAATGCAAAAATGGTACAGCTACTTTGAAAAAAAAATGGAGTTTTTTTTATAAACATACACTAACCATAACATCAAGCAATTGTAATCCTAGGTATTTATTCAAGAGAAATGAAAATACATGTCCACACAAAGACCTGCATGGAGATATTCATAGAAGGTTTATTCATAACTGTCAAAGACTAGAAAATTCTCAAAGGTGCATCACTGAAAGAACAGGTAAAGAAATGGTGGTATATTCACATAATGACTATGTTTGAGAAGACTGTAACACAATCCAGACTCTCTATAATGCATCCTTCACAATATCCATGATATCATTCAAAATTACTAGCACAGTGGGGGAGGATATAGTTCAAATGTTAAAGCACATGCTTAGTATGTAGGAGGTCTGGGGTTCAATCCCCAGTACCTCCTCTAAATAAACAAACAAACAAACCTAATTACCTCCCCACCCCATCCCCCCAAAAAAATTTAAAATAAAGAAAGAAAACTATGCCTTAAAAAAATTACCAGCACATTAAAAAAATAAAGTTTGGGGGTGATATATGGCCCATACTCAAGATAAAGAGTTAGAAACCAACCTCAAGGAAAGGCTGAAAACAAAAGTATAAGTTTCCATCTGAGGAAGCTTGAAAGGGAACAACAAATAATTTTTTTAAGTATAAGAAATGAAAGAACACAATCAAAGAGATAGAAAATATGACCCATAGAGGAAATAGAGAAATATCTAATTTTATTCTTTGAAAAGATTAATAAAATCAAAAATCCCATTGGAGTGTTAATCAAGAGAACGGCAAAAATATAAATTATCCAAATAAGACACTCAAAGGAGGGCATAACTACACATTCCGCAGATATTAAAATGGTTAAAGATAGATATTATGAACAATTTTATGTCAATAAACTTAATAAATAAGAACTGAATATTTTCCAGAAAAACAAATCGTGTTGGTAAAGAAAAAGAACATCGTTGTCATCCTTCAGGCTGGGAGGACAGACACAGAATAATCTAGCAACAAAATTAGTAGAAAATGTTTCTTCCAAGTTTATGCAGCAGCTGTAAAACTATCATAATGATCTAATTTTTCAGTGATTATTGCTTTCTAACCAACAATGCACCCAAGTCTGAAAAGCTTTCTTACCTTTTACTGGAAGTACCCAATTACTAAATTGCCATCATTTCATGACAGTGTCAAGTCTTCCCTCCTAATCTCACCTCAGAAACAGCAACCAGCCTAGAACTGAACTCCACAACTCCTAACTCCCCCTCAGTATCCTTCAATAAGAATCCAAGCCTTTTAAAAGGCGTGTACCTTCTCTCCATTGTTGAGAGACATTTGATGGTTCTTTGGAGAGCCCTCCCACACTATATTGATCCAATAAACTTGATCTTGTTGGACTATAGGTTTGCTTCTGGTGGTCTATGACTGAACAGGCTTTAACACCATAGTTTTACATATTTATATTTTAGTGGTGGAACAGAGCTGAAAATTAATGAGATTTAAGGTATGAATGTGATAGTTTCCTGAGTAGATTACAGATGGAAACGTCATTGGAGTCAAGAAAGGAGAGGAAATTTGAGGTTAGGGTGTCAGCTGATATATTCTAATGGTTAGAAGAAGTTGGCCTTGCTGCCGACAAAGGTAGAAATGAGGAGAAAAAATTGTGATGTAGGTGCTAAAATCCTCAAGGAATAAGGAGCAACAGGGAGATAAATGGGACGGATAGGAGGTGCCACAGTCAATGGACTGCACTTTAACAGTGGACTACGCTTAGTTTATGCTTACCTATTAATATTGCTTCATGCATTTCCCTCCACTACATAATATCCTCTATTAAAGGATTGCTTTGTTTATAGAAATGGAATTAGAATCCTGTGGCACTGACTCCAATCCCCATTTCTAGCCAATCTTCTATTCCAATAGTTCTTTGTCCCAAGTTGCTGGACAAGTCTTCCACAAGGTCCTTGGAAATACACCTTTTGTAAGCAACCGGACCCTCTATTTTTGCCACCTTAATCAGGCACTTGGCTCCAAAAGTCATTTCTGTAGAACAAACCCAGGAAACTTTCACACAGCAGAAGCAAGAACAATCCTAGGGGATTTGTCATACTCTATTAAAGCCTTTGTTTTCCTCCCACCACACATACAAAGACATCCACCCTAATCCTCACAGAATGTATGTAATATGTTCTTTGACTAAGGGGAGCAATCAGTGGTTTACATTGTCAGGTATTCTGTGCAAAACTACTGTAAAAGTAGGTGGAACTCATCTGCTTTATAAAGTTCTCTTTAGAATTTAGCATCAACAATTCTGGCTCTGAAAGGTAAGTGCAATATTCATGGATTTTGTTTAAATAATTTAAATTTTTATTGGTTCAATGAGAAAGCAAAAATGAGAAAAGCTCTTTCATCAACTTTAGTTTTTAACCCCTGCAGAAATTGTGACCTCAGCAAGATTTGCACCGCAGAATGGTCATTCTGGACACTCAAATCAGGTTGTCCGAGAGGCCCCACAGCAGTAAGGATGGTCTGTAGCAGCTAAAGCAACTGCTAAGTTTGTGTAACTGAAACTATGAAAAGGTAATCAGGAAGAAATCATCTGATATTCAGATTGAATGAGGCACATAGCATTATGCCCTCTATTCATCATCAAAATGAACCATGCATTGAAGGAAAGAAAAACTGATCTTCAGAATCCGAGCTAGGTGAGGAAATGTGAATGGGACACCAAAATGAAGAGCTCTAGGTAGATCCCTAGGTAGCCAGTGGAGAGGAAGGGAAGGGCAAGAATCAGTTTTGAATCATTATGCTTCTCATCGAAAAAATAAACAATTGATAACCTACCAATACTTCAATTTTAATTAATGAAAAATAGTTACTTAGCTCTGATGTGTGATCAAACACCTTCAAGTACTTTGCAGATATCATTTCTTTTAGTCTCACAACAAAACTGCATTATAGGGACAATTATTCCCATTTTACAAATGAAAAAACTGGGAGTCCGAGATACTAAATATCACTCGCAAGCTGTAACAGCTGGCCAGCGGGAGGCCCGAGCTCTGAGTTTTCTGTCTCCAGTCTCAATGACTGCTGTCAGCAAAGACTGAAGCTCACATAGTGAGCACAGCGAAGGTAGGGTTGGTCCCACTGAGCTCTGCTTGAGTCAGAAGGTACAGAGTACCAATGCTGCTCAGTGCTTGGCCTCATTCTTCAGATCGGAGTATGTTCAGAGGCTGACAAGAACTGCGAGGGATCTGAAAATTATGCCACAGGCAGAATGGCCAAGGGAACTATGGACACAATATTGGAGAAGAGAAGGCAGTGGAGGTGTGGTAGCTGTACTTAACTATTTCAAAGTTTTGATGTAGAAAGGAGATGATTTATGCCATTATTCCATGAGGGATCAATAGATATTATTAAAACAGATTTCTTCATGAGAGAGCCCATGATAATACCCATGGCAGTCAATGAACTTAATGAAGCTTAATCAAAGAAGCGATAGAACACACTCTTTAATGAGCTGTAGGTTCTCAGCTATTGGTTCATTCTACCTCATAATTTATTCTGTCTAAGAACCAAGTAGCACCATCGGAAATCATGATGTCAACACAAAAGAAAGTGTCTGATTAAACCTTAGAAGTCAGAGAAGACTGTGGAGAGAAATGAACCTGAATGATGAGTAGAAATCACCCAGAGTAATGAGGATGGGTGCCACCCAAGTGGGAGGAAAAAAGGAGCAAAGGCCACAAAGAATAGAGTGCATTGAGAGAACTCTAAATAGATCAGGAAGGTTGGATCAGTGCAAGTGATGGATGGAAATATTCTAAGAAACAAGCAAAGAGTCACACACAGGGGATACATCAGAAAGTGTGCACTGTGCTGTGCTAAAGAGGTTAGGCTTCATCCTGGAGGCTTGAGAGACTTAAAAGAGGCATGAAAGACTTAAAAGAACTCTTTTGGTATCATTTGCTCTCTACTTCAGCAAGATGTCACCTTGATAGATGTACTGTAAGTTTTAAGGACATAAGAATAAAGGCTAGAAGAGAAACAAATGGTATAAAGAGGAAAAGTGATCAGGACCTTAACTAAAGTAGGGATACCAGGTATGGAGTCAGATGAAGAAATAAAATTGGGAGGTAAACTGTTGACAGAATCAGTAGGATTTTATTAGATGTGTTACAATGAGAGGAAGAAGGCTAGGACCACTCCCATGTTTCAGATATGAGAGACTGAGTGGATTGTGGTGTCATTCTACAAATACAAAACATAGGAAGCGTGGTCCAAGGAAAGGATGAGTTTGGTCTGAGAAGGCTGAGTTTGAGGTTATTTGTGGGATTTCCAACTGAGGACTTCCAAGAAATAACTGAAACTATAAATCTGGACTTTGGGAGAGAGATCTGTGCAGGAGTCAAGGTGGAGAGGCATTTTAAAACAAATATTAGATACATAAAATAATGTAACTGAGATCCCAGAGAGCGTGAATCAACCTTCTTTAATGCAAAGAAGAAAGAGGGGAAAAAAACTAAAAAGAACCATATTTACAGGCTAGACAGAGGGAAAAATTACTGTGAATAAGTGTAAAAATTAGCCAAAGAAACACAGGAATGTGTAGAATGAAAACACACAAAAATGAATATTCACATTTCCCTCAACAGGAATAGTTCCCAGAAGAGATGGAGGTTGGAAACCACACCGGTGTCACAGAGTTCATCCTTTGGGGATTAACAGGGGATCCTACACTTCGTGTCATCTTCTTTGTGATATTTCTAGGAATCTACATTGTCACCTTAATAGGCAATATCAGCATAATCACCTTAATAAGAAGCTGTTCCCAGCTTCACACCCCAATGTACCTCTTCCTCAGCCATTTGGCTTTTGTGGACATCGGGTATTCCACATCAGTCACACCTATGATGCTTACAGGACTCCTTACACATGGACTGGCCATCCCTGTCACTGGCTGTGAAGCCCAGCTCTGTTCCGTGGTCATGTCTGGGACAGCCGAGTGCTTCCTGCTGGCTGCCATGGCCTATGACCGCTATGTGGCCATCTGCTTGCCCCTGCTCTACTCCACCCACATGTCCCCCAGAGTCTGTGTCCTCTTGGTGGGGGCTTCCTATCTGGGTGGGGGTGTGAATGCTTGGACATTTACTAGTTGTTTACTGAGTCTGTCTTTCTGTGGGCCAAATCAGATAGACGACTTTTTCTGTGATTTCTCCCCTTTGTTGAAACTTTCCTGCTCAGATACCTCCACTGTTGAAATTATCCCTTCCATCTCTTCAGGATCCATCATCGTGGTCACAGTGTTTGTCATAGCTCTCTCTTACACCTGCATCCTCATCACCGTCCTGAAGATGCGCTCCACTGAAGGGCGACACAAGGCCTTCTCCACCTGCACCTCTCACCTCACCACCATTACTCTCTACTATGGAACTATTACCTTCATTTACGTGATGCCCAAGTCCAGCTACTCAACTGACCAGAACAGAGTGGTGTCTGTCTTTTACACAGTGGTGATCCCCATGTTGAACCCCCTCATCCACAGTCTGAGGAACAGAGATGTAAAGGAAGCCCTGAGAAAGGCAACTGGTAGAATATATTCTTAGGATCCATTCTTAGCATTTCAGGTGACCTATGAAGTGTTTGTTTAGCAGTATCACACTTAGGACCTACCAAATGTTGCTTGACTGACTGATTAAATTAAAAACATACTTTTAACTCTTACTTTTATACACTTGTATACTAACTCGGAGACAACTTGAAATCAGCAATAATGACAGTAGTAATTTTCACTATTATGTATTAATATCTGTAGGTGCCTAGGACTTTTTAATTTATTTAGTAAGCAATAATTTGTACTTATTATGAGCCAGGCCCTATTCTAAGCACATTAGTTTATTAACTGATTTATCTCTCACAAAAATCCAATCAAGAAAGGCTATTATTTCTACTTCACAAATAAATCATCTGGGACACAGAGACATTAAGTACATTGTCCAAAATCATGCAGCTAGGAAGTTGTGGACCAGTGTTTGAATTCAGAAAGTCTGGGCCCAATACCACTGTAACTTCTCCATTTAATTTTCATAGCAATCCTATGATGCTGGTATTATAAATTTACCTCCGTTTACAGATGAAAATACTGGGTCCTAGAGAAAGCCAACAGTTTGTCTTGAGAGATGTGGACTCAAGTCTTCTGTTTGAATGGAATGAAGTCCTCTGATTTCTGGCACTTGATCTAAAATGCCACAATCAGTCCAGTGACTAAAGCGCTATCACTGATCTGGAGGATCTGAGCAGGGTAAGAAGCCTCAGCTGTTTCTTTGTATGAGTCTTTTGAACAAACTCTATTCTCAAGAAGGTCTAGGTTGTGAAGACTGCAAAACAAGGATGAGAATGGGAAAACTGGGTTGTTTCCCATCTATAGGGAGACAGGTCTGGACACCAAAATCACATGATTCGACTGAAAGTCTATACATATTTAAACACATGTTAAAAACAAATACTCCCATTTGGAATACTGCAGTCTTTCTTATATGTAGAAATTGAAAAGGGTTATCTTAATTCTAAACATTGCAATTAACGTGTTAACAACAATCATAGTTCCATAACCTCGCTTTACAAAGAAATTAGAACCCATTAAGAAAAAACTAGAAATGTTGTCAAAGACTGTACTAAATGTATTTCTTGGGTTATAATCTACCCTCATTTACATCATCATCATGATAATGGAAATGGTGAGGAGAGATTTTTCTGGAGTATAGGAACTCCCAACAGAAGCAAATACTGTTGCAACTCTTTAGAGCATCTGAAAGCAAGACTTAGATCAGAAAGTCCTTGTCTCAGCATAATGCATTGAGAGAAGTGAGGCATGGAAAACATAATTTAAAAACAAAATGAAAAGTATTTATAATTACAGTTAAGTAAAAATGTAGACTACCTACAATGTTATTGCAAATTTTAAGTAGGAAATAAATAACAAAGACTGAAAGACAACAAAGATAAATTTAAGCACATGAAATGACTAAGTAATGGGTATAAGAAAACTGTTTCTCTACTTACAACACTTCTAACAAAAATTTATGTTGTTTTTGCCCCCATACCAACCAACTGGGAAACCAATATATTCCAAATATTCAGACATCAACTTGATGCCCTATTCTTACTGCAACTGTGACACAAACTACCTGGAGGTAGTGTCAGACATCATAGATTAAAGGAATCAGTCCCACAAAAGCACTCACATCAGACACCAATTGCAAGCAATGGGTCCTCAGGGTACCCACAATTCTGTCCAACTTAACCACAAAGTTGGGTTCCACAATTATCTCTCAGCTTGACAATCTGCTGGAATGAATGGTTCACAGAACTTATGGAAACATTTACTTACATTTACGTCTTTATTATAAAAGACATTACACAGGATACAAATTAATAGCCAGATGCAGAGATACACAGCACCAGGTCTGGAAGGGTCCCCATGGCAGGAGCTTCTATTACTATGAAGTTTTAGAGCAGCATTTTATTGGCAGGAGAATGTGTTTTACCAACTTGGAAGCTCTCCATTCAATAGTTTAAGTTTTTTATTTGGGCTACTTGATCCATATTAAATTAATCTCCAGCCCTTCTCTCCTCCCCTCAGTGAAGAAGATGGGCAGAAAGTTCTAAGTTTCTAATGGTTGTTCTTTTTGGTGACCAGCCTCTATCTTGAAGCTATCCTGGATCCCACCAAGAGTCATTCCATTAGAACAAAAGATGCTCCTATCACCCACAAAATTCTAAGGGACTTAGGTGTCCTGAGTCAGAAACCACGGTCAAGATGAAATATTAGAATAAAAGGTGCTCCTAATGCCCCTATCACTCTGGAAATTACGAAGGTTTTAGAAGCCCTGTGTCAGAAACTGGAGGCAGAGATCAAAGATTTATTTCTAGTATGTCACAGTCCACCCTCTGGTGTGTGCCTATGGACCCCCCACAGCAAAATAATCATAAAAGTCCAAAGATACTGGCACATTATTAGAATTCCACTTAGTCATTAATACTTATCTAGTCCATCATCATATCATATGAAAATGTGCCCCAGGATGAGCCTATTCAGTTCTGCAGGCTCCCATTTGATCTTGTCAGGTTCTAAAAGCAGGACTGGTCTCAGAAATATATGGCTTCACTCTTTCAGGCATCAGGTATAATTGAGCTAAGAGACAGTATTATCACTTGCTTTGAGCCTCTTTTGAGGTGTTAATGTAATATTTAATTTTTCATTAACAACATTTCTAACTGTGCTATAGAAATTCCAGGTGCATCCTAAGTCCAGTGACTACTGAAACTTAGTTATGTGAACTCTAAAGTCCCTCTGGATACTAGGGACCCATATCTTAGAGGTAAGAGTGTTCATAGGTCTTCTGTATTTTATCTCTGGTATCATTTGAGCTTTGCTAATTGGGAATTAATTCAAGTCAAAGACCAGTGATAGACAATAATTTCCAAATCTGTCAAGATTTACATATAACTCTTGGCATGTTTTTGAGTAATTCAAGGAGAAGGGGGAGGGACTCAAACATTGATAATTTTCTGCCATTGTGCCCTTGAAGTCCAAGAGGAATATTTGATCAAAGCCTTGAAGTCATTTTACAAATAGAGATGGGACAATCATCCATTCATTTCAAAAGTATTTGTTGAGCCTTTACTGTATTCTAGGAACTGAGTTAACACTGAAGATATGTTGATATGTAGAACAGAGTTCTCACACAGTTTATATTTTAGAGGGGGAGACTTTAGAGAATAAATGAATACAGAAAATGATAAGTGGTTGGAATTCGAGGCATTTGGATTGATATGACTTACAAAGGGTAACTCTGGTGGTGTGGGTGGTGTTTCCTTAGAGAGTGTGACAAGGAAGGCCACTGAAGGAGGTGACAGCTGAGCAGAAAGCTGAAAGACGAGAAAGACCCATTGATAGGGAAAGTTAGGGGGAAGCTACCGGGCAGAAAAGGCTAGTGCAAAGAAGCTGGTAATCTTAAGAAATAAAGAGGCCATGGTAAACCAGGAGAAGAGAGATACATGGAAAGTGTTAGATCTTGGGGAGCTTCGTCAGCCATGGAAAAACGTTTGAATTTTATTCTAAAAGGAATAGAAGCCTTTATAGGTTTTTTTAAATTGTGCTAATCTAATGTGAATATATTTTTGAAGATCACTCTGGTTGTATGGAAATTGATTATAAAAGAGGAGAATGGGAGCAGGGAAACTGTGAGGTCCTTAGTTAAGATCTGAGATGATGGTGCATTAGGCAAAATGCATTCATACCCTCTCACGTCCCCTCAACATATTATGCCAGTACAGTATCAGAACTGAGTCCATCATCATAAAATCTAAATCAGGTTCAGGGTGAGGTTCCTTGGACACAACTCCTCAAATACAGTCCCTCTTTATTTGAAGACCTACAAACTAAAGAGATAAGTTACATGACCCCTACACATCTATCAGACACTATTGATACAGGAGCAGAAACTCTGCAGTAAATATTCTTGTTATAAAGAAGGAACAGAAGAGTCACATAAAAACACTGGCCCATAGAAATTCCAAAATCCAACTAGACACCTGTTTGCTATTTTCTTGATCAGGATCCAGTCCTACTCCCTGTTAATAAGTCTCTCTGTGGCTCTTGGCTATACCTTCTGAACTTTTAGTTCTATCCTTGGACTCATTCTTCCTTTTTCAGGAAAATACAGCCCCAGTTATAGCTAAGTAGTTTTCTTAGCCTATTTCCTGCCTATTGTAGTTTGAGAGTCCAAAGACATCTTCATCCTGCACTGTCCCTTGCAATTCAAGCTGGTATAATTTCTTTAAAAATTTTGTGGGAGTCATCAGGGAAATTCAAATAAAACTTCAATGAGATACCACTTCATACCCACTGGGATGGCTAGAATTAAAACATCAGATAATAACAAATGTTGAGGATGTGAAGAAACTGGAACCCTCATACACCACTAGTCTGGATGTAAAATGGTGGTGCCATTTCGGGAAACAGTCTGGCAGTTCTTCAAACCATTCAACATAGAGTTATCATTTGACCCAGCAATTCTACTCCTAGATATATATACCTAAGAAAAATTACAATACATGTCTACACAAAAACTTGCACACTAATGTTTATAGCCAGATTATTAAAAACAACCAAATGTCTATCAGCTTAAGTGTTGATAAATAAAATGTGGTCTTTCCATACAATGGAACATTTTTCAGCCATTAAAAGGAATGAAGTACTGACGCACCCTACATGGATGAACCCTGAAAACACTATACAAAGTGAAAGAAGCCAGTCACAAAAGACCACATATTATGTGATTCCATTTATAATATAGAAATCTATAGAGACAGAATAGTAGATTGGTAGTTGCTTCTGGCTTCTGGCATGTAGGGTGGATTTCTTGGTGCAGCCACTGTGGAAAAGAGTATGGAGAGTCCTCAAAAAGACTAGGAATAGACTTACCAGTAATCCCACTCCTGGGCATATATCCAGAAGGAACCCTACTTCAAAAAGACCCCTGCACCCCAATGTTCATAGCAGCACTATTTACAATGGCCAAGACATGGAAACAGCCTAAATGTCCATCAACAGATGACTGGATAAAGAAGTTGTGGTATATTTATACAATGGAATACTATTCAGCCATAAAAACTCACAACATAATGCCATTTTCAGCAACATGGATGTTCCTGGAGAACGTCATTCTAAGTGAAGTAAGCCAGA